TGTCTGCCTGCGCTCGTCGTAGGTAGGCACCGTCTCGGGGGTCCCTCTGTGGGGATCCCTGTGTGCACCTGTTGCTCCCTAGGTGGTTCTCGTTGTGATCTTTTGATGGCTTGACTTGTATTTTTGTTTTAATTTTACTTTGATTTTGACTGTATTTGTGTGGTATTTTTGCTGAATTTTTGTGTAAAGTCCTTTGTATGATGACTTTTCTTTCTGTGGTCGGTTGCCTTTTCAACCCGACGCTGTCTCTTGTTGTATGTGAGCGTGCCGTGGTGTTTTTTATGTTTGTGCTGTGATGGCTTGTAGTTGTGATGTGTGACTGCCTTTTTATGTGTCTAGTGGTTCAAATGGCCGTATCTCTGGTTATACTTAGTCGTTTTTCATGATTTTTGTTTCCTTGTGCGTGATTCTTCGCGCTTGTACTTTTCGGCATGATAGAAGCCGATGAAAATGTCTTGTTCTCTTGTGTTGTTTTGCGTGCCGTCGTGATTTTGATGTCGGGGTTGCACAGCTTTGCTTTCAGCTCTGAGGTTCAAACACCTAATTTATTATTAGTATTGTGTGTTTTGCAGAACGACGAGTTTGGGAAGGCGAGGTGGTGGTGTTGCTTGGAGGTGACTCGGCACTCGGGCGTTTAGCACCGCGGACCTGGGTCCAAGAATCCTCGCCGCCGGACTCAGTGGCCATGTCCGCGGGGCAAGCAAGCGAGCAAGCGAGCGGACACGGTGGGAGCGAGGGCGCCGCCAAAACGCGGGCCGCAAAGAGCGGGGTTGCAGATTTTATCTGACAACGTGAGAAGATGTCAGAAAAAAAAAGTGGTTCACGCCAAGATGTCAGAAAAAAAAAGTAGTAGTGGAGGTAGTGGAGTCAGCAGAGTCAGCAGAGTCTGCAAAATCAGCAGCAGAAGTAGTAGGTTCGTCGTGGTCAAGGTCGTCAAATTGGTCGTGTTGAGGTGGTACAGTTGCATTCTCCCCTTCACCTCGAGCACGGGGAACAACTTTGACGTGGATGGTCTCGATGATAGTGTTGGTGTCAGGGCAGTAGACCTTGTGAGAGAGTGAAGTCGGCGAAAAGCCCACATAAATACCGTGGCGGGCCTTGGGACCGAGCTTGCCACCACGGCGCAGCGGGTCAAAGGCAAAAGCGTCGGCGCCAAAGGGGTGCAAGTCGCGGATGTCATGGGGCTTGATGCCGGTGAGGAGCTCATAGGCACAATAGCCATTGAGGTGCTCCTTGGGGCGGATGTTGATGAGGTACTCGGCGTGCTGGCAGCAAGGGCCCAAAAGGATGG